TAAATATTAGAATATACAGTACTGTGTAAAATTATTGATCTACCTTTTTTTGTTTCTTTTTCACTTCTTTGGAAGTGTGCAGCTATTTATTGAAATGTATGGAAATACAGACTAGAAGATGAGAAATAACTGAGTTTGTGCAATTCTTGAAGTAATCTTCAGAAATAGTTCCCTGGGCTTCTTCAAAGACATCCAAAGCTCCTCTTTGGATGTTGGCTGCCTTTTATTTGGTTCTCTGTCAGGATGATCCCACACTGCTCTAATAATGTTGACGCCATGAATACTTTTTCACACAGTGGAAAACCAATTTTTTTTTTCTATCAATATCACAAAAAACACTCATTCCACTGAAAAGTATTAGTACAAGAACTGGACTGAAAATGAGTGTAAAAGCAGCAAATGTTCAAAGAAATACTTTGAAATGCCTTCAAAAAGTCTGGAGAGCTATTGCTCAAAACCAGATTACGAGAAAGTCTGGCTCCTTGGAAGCCAAGAAATAAAGAAATAAGGGGAGGCTCAAAACTTTTGCACACTAGTGTTTATATTTATAGCTTCTGAGAAGAATATTTTCCTTGACTGCTGCCTGTGATCAGGGTGTGACATTTCTGGCTCTTGGTAATGGAGCTCCTGACATCTTCAGTGCCATTGCAGCATTTTCCCACCCGCACACAGCGGGGTTGGCTGTCGGAGCCTTATTTGGTAGGCACAGACTCGCACACGCTCACACCGATATGTAAATAAATTTAAAAACGCCTTGAGATGTGACAGCCTGTTTGCCTTTCCAGGAGCCGGGATATTTGTTACTACAGTAGTTGCTGGCAGCGTGGCGCTGGTCAAGCCTTTTGCTGTAGCTTCTCGTCCGTTTCTGCGCGATGTCATCTTCTACATGGTTGCAGTGTTTTGGACTTTCCTCATATTGTACAGAGGAACTGTGACGCTGGGAGAAACACTGGGTATACAGCGACACACGCACACATGGTCTTGCATTATTTATGCATCCTATTTGACCTCTCGATTTTTCTTTGTTGGTCCGGTTTTAGAAGGCTTTTAATTTTCCAACTTTGTTTTATTGATTTCAACAATGACATACAAAGTTAGCAACAGCAAAGTCAATCTTGATTCCAGAACAGTTGTATGTCCATTATACCCCCCAACCCGAATTCTCCCCCTACCAGGTCCACACTAGACAAGACGCCACAGAGAACCAGTCTCTGCCCACGAAAGCTTTTAATTTTGAACAAATATTATAATTTTAAATCTATTTACATTTGTTCTAATTTGCCATCAGTGAATCCTGACTAGACTTGACAGCTCATTCATTTTCACTTCTGTTATTCAGCTTCTGACTTTTGTTGTCAGTCGGTGGGCTGTTTGAAAGACCAAAAAATGACTTTTGTTTCTTACGAGAACCACACACACATGTTAGCGTAATTAAACACGTGATCATTAGTCATCTGACACATTGCTTTGACGGTAAGAAGCTAGTGGTATAATATGGTGCCAGGTTACAAGGAAGTTATGTTAGGTTTGGGCAAAGGTCCAGGAATGAACTTGCTGCTGCAGTGGAGGCTAAATTCTCTTTTCAAGACACAAGTTTCAAAGTTGTCTCAGAGAAGCTTAAAGAGTCCCCAGCCATACTTTCAAAGAATCGCCTCACACACAATATGACATTTGAAGTCACTCTGGACATGAAGTGATGATGTTTTCTTCACAGCTGCAAGTATTGGATAGTCTTCACATAGCATTTCATTCATCCCTGCAGGGGGAGAAAATATTAAAACGGTCAATTACTTATACTTTTGGTGATTTATAGGCAGTAAACTGAAGTATTAACTTGTGTTTTCTTCTTTGAGTAAATCTTTCTGTGATAACTTTTCAGCTCATCCCATGGCAAAGCCTCCGACTGTCCTCCCATCTATTTACACTTCACAAGAATCATTCCTTCCCTTAGAGTATTGGTTAAGAGACACTTGCACATAGTGATCGTCTATGTCTGTGCTCGAGGCTGCAGTCCAGTTTATCATTTTACTGTCACGCTTCCATTTTCACAGCATAAACTGCATGCACATTACTTAGTTTTTTTGATGTACCAAAGAACATTCAAGCCATTTAGCAAAGTCCTTAAATTAAGATTCTCGATACATAAAATGACAATGCAAGAACTTAATGAAATACCAGATGATGCGATGGCTTTAAATATCACTTGTAACCATCATGGGATGTGATCAGTAACATGGCGAATGCTTTGATAAGCTGCTGCATTTACATGTATTCATGCTTTTTTTTTTTTTTTTTTTTTAAATGGCCGTGGTTAGTTTTAACCATGTAGTCATAATACTCCTGATCTCAAACATGGCATGGTGGTAAATTTGATTAATTTGTCCTGAATACGACTGTGTGTGAGCCTTTAGTTCTCATTAGTTTTTACCAGTAATGACAAGTAAACTTAACACCTTCTTTCTGCTCTTCACAAATTGCAATAACCTGTGAAATGTGATTGATCGTGAGCCAGATCAGCGGCAATGCCGTTGGGCTGGTTTTTACAGCTCAGGTGTGAAACCCACAGGGCCAAAAAGAAGAGGTTAATTAAAACTAGTCAAGACTAGTTTTAACTAGTTGGAAAACATGTCTCTGTGTTTTTCTTTTTTCTAGGGTACCTTGGCCTCTACGTCCTGTACGTCGTGATTGTTATCATCAGTGCGTTCATTTACAACCGGCAAAAGTATTCTGACAACACGAGTGTCCAGAATGTTACACATGTTCCAGGTTAGATATATAAACACACGCTCTTACACACAGACAAATAAAAACCACACAGTTCCAAGTGATGTGTGGTTTTTGTTTTTTGTTTTTTTTCTTTGAAGCAGACTTTCATTCGTCTGACTCATCAGATGATGACGTTCCCTGTCTGACAGGCAGGAGTCTTCATCAGGAGTATGGTAGGAATGCAGCAGCCTCCATTTAAAAAAATAAAAAACAAAACTAAACCAAAAAGTAAATTTACTGCAGCACATTCCTGAGTGATCAGATCATAATTTACACCTGTGTGTTGCAGAGTCAGAGTATCGACCACTTCTGCCCTACTCTGAGTCTACAAGTCAGATCCTGCTGAGCTCTTTGAATCCAGTCGACAACCGTAAGTGGAGGAGGAAATCATGGAAGTGGAAAGTCCTTAAAGTACTCAAGGTACTGGTTCACAGACTTAAGTGAAATCCAGTCAAAAACTTGTCTTTCAATGTAAATTAAAGTAAATTATTCTGTGGTTCTTGGTCTGCACCCATCAGACGCCTCTGGAAGTGCTGCTGCTGCTCTGTATCCCTGTGGTCGACCCTGACAAAGAAGACAGAAACTGGAGGCGCCCCCTAAACTGCCTCCACCTGATCACTGCTCCTCTGGTGTGTGTGCTTGTCTTCCAGTCTGGAGCGTGTAAGTGCTTAACATTTTACAACAGAAGCAGCTTGAAGTCCTAGTCTTAATCAAAATAAGCATATGATTAAATTATTTTCTTTTTATCTATCAGATGGAAATTATATGATCCAAGGGCAGTTTCCCCTCTGGCTGCTGTTTCTCCTGCTGGGACTTTTCGTTTCTGCTATTGTCTTCTGCTCAACCAGCAATGACTGTCCTCCCAGATATCACTCAGTAAGTGTGTGTGTGTGTGTGTGTGTGTGTGTGGAGAATAAGTATGATGATGATGATTATTCCTTTTTGTAATACTGTAGCCAAGTGGGACAGTGGTGCAGTAGTTGGCACTGTTGCCCCCCCCCCCCTTGAACTGCACATCTGAGAATAGCTTGCAGCCATAACTGAGCACTGTTTGATTTTCAAAGTTTGGCAGTGTCCTGTCTGATTAGTACTTAAAAGAGGAGTCTGCTGGGGAATACTGGGTGCCGTTAACGTCAAAGCCATTTGTGGCTCAGGAAGTAGAGCGGGTGGTCTGCTAATCAGAACACTGATGTCGAAGTATCCTTACTTTCCCCTGATGCAATGTTGGGTAAAAAAGTGCTTTGGTATAGAAAAAGGTGCTTGTATTAATTTAACTTTAACTGTCAAGTCTTTTAAAAATGGCTAAAAACAAAACTTTGAATTCACTATCCAAATAAATGTAGAAAGCATTTATCACTATTCTTTTACTGCACATGTGCAAAATGACTCCACATTCAGGCTTCAGTTACTCTTCTGTGTTTTCTGTATCTGTTGTTGTTGTTGTTGTTGTTGTTGTTGTTGTTGTTTCATGCACCACAAAAAAAACCAAGAACAACACAATACACTACACTTACATGCATCTTTATTACGCCCTGTAGATATAGCTGCTACCACACAATATAAACTTATGGACCTTGTGAGCCAGTTGTTTTTGCATATTTATCTACAGCTTATGTTTCCTTGTTGATTACTGATGTGCTTTACTGGGGCAGAGGCAAGTCACCTGCCACGTTTGGCATTATTTAACTCTCCTATTGCTGTTTATTCATTATTCTCTGAGTGCTGTGTCCCTTATGTGTCTAGCTCTTCTGATGCACAGTGATGCTATGAGTTTGAGTGCAGGTATAATGGTTTAGCATGTTGAGTACACTGATTTAGTTGACATTTGCTAATTAACACAAAACACAAATTAAGTACAGCTGAGGCTGATGGATATCTGGTAATTGCTGGTTTTGTTTTAGCAACACTGCCATCAAGCTTCTAAGGTGGCTTAAAATATTTGCGTTTCTCATATTGATTCAAGATTAAAGCTACATCACAGGTCTTAAATTTTTTTATTTTGAAGTTTTTACATTTATGCTATGATGATACTGGTTTGTAAATGTCTTGTCCTTCCCCTCCCTCCAGTTCTTTGCTCTTTTGGGGTTTGTGGTGAGTGCAGTGTTGATCAGTGCGGCGGCCTCTGAAGTGGTCAGTCTTCTGCACATGCTCGGGGTTGTGCTGCGTCTGAGCAACACTGTGCTGGGATTGACTCTGTTGGCCTGGGGAAACAGCATTGGAGGTAAAGCTTAAAAACTTCATTCAGTATTTTTCTCCAAAAACATACTGTATGTAACTTTAGTTGCTTAAAAAAAATTGTGTCTCTCTTATTTTCAGACTGCTTTTCTGACATCACCATCGCTCGGCAGGGTTACCCACGGATGGCTATATCTGCCTGCTTTGGAGGCATCATTTTCAGTATCCTTGTTTTTGTGACTCTCTGTAAAACAACACCAATCATGCATGTACAAAAGAGGCTTTTAGTATCCTTGACTCTTACTTCCTTCAGACATGTTGTTTGGAGTGGGTTTAGGATGTCTGGTGCAAATGCTCCAAACACATGCCGACGTGCAGGTAATCTCCTCCTCTAAGATGCAGCGTAATCTAACCAAAGCTACATGTGCCTGTTTCAGACACTATGAAGATATGAAGCCTTTGTTCTTGTTCCTTCTCAGGTTGAACCAGAAGGTTTGCTGACATGGATTCTTGCAGGATCGCTGGGTTTGTCTCTGGTCCTGTCCTTTGTCATCGTTCCACTGTGCCGCTTCCACTTGGGTCGGGCCTATGGCATCTTTCTCCTCATCTTCTATGTCATCTTCCTTATCATTGCACTTCTTACAGAGTTTGGCGAGATTCGTGTTACGTAGACCTGATGCTGCGGCCGGTCTGAAAAATGACAACTACAACTATTTATGCACTATTTTTTTACAAGAATCAGCTGTAACCTTTGTTCCACTTGACTACTACCCACAGAGTTCCTGTGGTTGGATAATGAAATCAGGCGAGCAAAGTCTGCTCAGGGAGGACCGAAACGACACACACTGTGCCTTTTGTAATTTGAAACACTGAATTGTCTCCATTAATTATTGATCTAAATGTTAATGACTTGTGCATGCTGCTTTGGGGTAATTAAATGATTTTGGTTTAATTTTTTTGGAGTGTATGTGCTTTAATTTTTTTTTCCCCTCTAACTTCTCTAAATAGATTTGAGTAAATAGGTAATTTTTACAGCCAGCAGTGTTATAATCCAGCAACATCAATGAACATCACAGTTTGACAAGTTCTAACAGTTTATTCAAATAAACTCAAATACATTACAGAATAAGAAGTTATATAAAAGTAAAATATTCTAAGTCTGCTGAGACATTAGTTGAGGGAAAATGTCATCATTCGTCCAGTTGAGCTAAAAGGAGTATTAAGTGTTTATATATTTTGGTCTTTGGAAAACTCAGTGGGTGTGTTAATACTGATCAGAGGAGCCGTTAAACTAAGGCATCAGGTTTAGATGCGTCATGATTTACAATAGGGCACAAAAGGCCAACAGCAGTATATGCACACATAAAATGGGAGTCCAGGCTTCCTGATTACTGCAGCTTTTGCCTTTAAAGGAAACGTTGGAATGACAATGTGCATGTTTCCCTAGCAAACTTTGCATTAATTGATGCTGTGAGGTCCAGTCTGTGAGTTGAGCTGAGGCTCTGGGAAGGGAGACAAGTCAGGCATGGGGCTGTCTGGATCCCGCTCCAGGCTTTGGTCTGGTTCAGGCAGGGCTTCCCTCGAATATTCTGCATACCACTCCTTAACAACACAGAAAAGACCAACACATCATGATAGTCCAAGTCCTGACATGGTATTCTGGATTACATCTTTAGTTTCTTACCTGTATCTCCTCCTCGTACATTTTCATGCTGAGGTCGCTCTTCGTCCTAGACCTGCGACCTAGGTACACTAAAGACGAGTGCTGCGCACAACAAATCAGGAGTGAAAATTAATTCGATGGACTTAAAGAGCAGAAGAAGACGACTTCTTGCTGTTTGCGTGTGTTCTTACCCCACTTTTGTCCATAGTCTGTAAAACTCCCTGCAGAGAGCAGAGGGAAGACGATCCTGGGCACATCTGTTTGTACAGCTCGAGAGCGATGAGAACGTCATCACGACTCACCTCTACTTCAAACACGATCCCATTCTCATCTACAGCATGTACAAACACATTTAATTTAGATCCTGGCTGACAACTCTTAACCTGCATACAATCTCACACACACTCAAACCCACCCTCTGGATTTTCTAGCGGTTCCCGGTTCTTGCGACTGTAGTTCATGCGGAACACAAATGCATCTAAAATGAACGCCACGATGATAGTCATCACCACCTGCACAGTGCACAGACAAAACATTGTATGCAATATGGTTACATTCCCACACACTGATTCTTCAGTCGATTATGCAGAGGACAACATTAAAGTAAGACTACACAGGCTCCTCAGGGCAGGATAGAAACATTAATAAAGAATAAAAGGCTTCAATTTGTCTCAGATATGCAAAACCTCTGAGTTTTGTTTTGTTCCTCTGTTCGCATTCCTGCTCACCATTGTAACTATATAAAAAGTCATGAAGTACAGACGGCTCCAGTGGCTCGTCATAGACGTCACTCCTTCCTGTGAAAGAGCAAAAAGCAGTCAGACACCCGACGATCTGTGCTCAGGCTGCCGAGTGGCGACAGATTTTGAACCACAGATAAACTCAATCTCACCATGGTGATGTACCAGTTGTTGACCACGGTCAGTTCAAACAGAGTCACTGGACATAAACGAAAATTGAGTAATTGTTTTTAAAATTCTAGAAAACATAACACACACGAACACACAACAGATGTAGATAATATAAAAATACAGAATTTTGACAAAAAGGAAAAAGGGATTATTACCAAAGCTACTGAGGATGTTGTTGAAGTTATTGAGATAATAGTAGCCCTCTTCCAGCACTGTTTTGTTGCCTTGTGTGTTGTTGATCAGTCTGTAGGAATCGGCCACTGTGCTCGTACTGAGAGGGAGAGAAAAAAGGAAGAATAAATTAATGAAGTAATGAATCGTCAATGGAGAGACCCACTTTTTCCATTTGTGTCTCATGACACCACTACTCACTTGCAGCAGTTGGGGTAAACCACATCTGCAAAGAACTCCATTCCCACAATAGCAAAGGAATAGTAGAAGATGATTAATGTCAACCCTAGACTGGCCATCCTGGGGAAGAGCTCAAACATGGTGTCTAAAACATTACGATACCTCTGCTTTATCTTAAATAACCTGCAAAAGGCAACACACAGAAATTCGAATGTAAAATTGTTAAATAAATAAATAAATAAATGACTATTGCCATTATGTGCATATATGCTGTCACGTTAAAGGAGATCGGAAATCATACCTTAGCAGCTGAAGCGGTCTGAGAATTACAATAAAGTAGAACGGCTCCTTATTGAAGGCGAGAGCAATGAGGCCCAAGAAGGCAAAAACCGTCACAGAGAAGTCAAACCTGGACGGAAGAGCACAATGAGGATTACCAGCAAAAGCAGAGAAACAGGGTTTCATATCAGCTCAGAGGCATTTCTGTGATTTTCTTTTAAATAGAAGTAGGCCTACTGAAAAACAACATGTCACGTTTAATTGTTAAAGATTCCTAAAATTTCCACACTCAAATGGAGTCTGTTGATTTAGACATTGTTTGTGTTTAACAGAGTGCACAGTTTGAGTTTTGGATGCAGCACAGATTTGTGTTTTCAATGTGTGTTACTCACAGATTCCACCCAGAGCTGAAATAGGCAACTGGCCCCAAACCTGATATTTTCAATAACACTTCTACACCATAAACTGAAAGTGGAAGGACAGACACACAGTGTAAACGACTGTAATTAATCCTCGACACCTTATGACATTTTAATATTATCTGGACTTTCTATGTGGGGTGCAGGGTTTGGGTGGGGAGGGTGCCATGCAGCCTACTTACTGGTCAGAAAAACAATGTAACTCCAGGGAACCAATTTGGACCAGGAAAATCCACCTGCAAGAGGAGAGGAAGGTAAAACACCTGGAGTATTGGAACACATGCCTTAGTACTGTGCAAGTACTGTGCAAAAGTCTTGGGGCATTTTTTTAATATATTGCCAGGAAATTAAGCGCAGTTATTCACTGGAACACATGCAAACATACGTGTATAAAGCAAAAACTGAGTTTGTGCAATTATAAAGAGCTTGAAATTCAATATTTGGTATGACCACCTTTATTCTTCAGCACAGTCTGAACTCTCATAGGTCTTCGGGAATACTGAAGACTACTTCAAGGACATTCAAAGCTCTTCTTTGGATGTTGGCTCCCTTTTAGTTCTGCTCTCCATCTAGATGATCCCACACTGCTTCAATAATGTTGAGGTCCATTTTCTGGGGAAGCTAACCTACCTAGGTAGATTAAACACATTGCCAATGTGTTTGAATTCATTGTCATGCTAAATAATTAAGCTGTTGTCAGTTAGACGTTTTGCAGAATATACTGCATGGTGAATCCAAATCTGGCAGTACTTTTCTGCATTCACAATCCTGTCAACACCCCCAACACCACTGGCTGAAATGGAGCCCCAAACAATGAGAGAGTCTCCAACATGTTTTACAAATGGCTGTAGACACTCACTGTTGTACTTCTTTTCTGACTTCCTCTGTACATACTGACAATGATTTGACCAAAAATGTCAAATTTGTGTTCTTCAATCTATCAGACACATTTTCCACTGATTCAGTCCAGTTCTTGTGTAATTTGGTAAACCTCAGTGTTTTCTTCCCGTTTCCCTTCCTCAAGAATGGCTTCTTGACAGCCACCCTTCCACTGAGACCTTTTCTGATGAGGCTTCAGTGAACAGTAGATGGATCGACTGAATGGCCAGATGCATCTCTCGGGGTCCTGCATCAGGTCTTTGCTGAATTTCTTTCAATTTCTTAAGGACGTGACTTTCAAATGTTGTTCATTTGTGCTGTTTTTCATAGATTCAACTATAGAAATGGAAACAAGTTATCCCTTTCTACATCAGGTTGCTAGTAATAATGTGCCTAAAGATAGAATATTAATAATTTTTTTTTTTTTGCTTAGTTGTCTTTTATGTGTAGACACAACACTGGTTCATCCCTTGAGTTAGGGGCCTTTTTTTGTCATTGAATGAGTCATAGGTCAGAGTTAAGCGGTTTATCAAACAACAAAAACATTCCACTGAAAACGGTCAGGGATGAGGACTGGCCTAAGTAAAAAAAGCAGCCAATGTCGAAAGAAAAACTTTTAAAGACCTCCAGAAAGAATGGAGAACTATTGCTCAAAACCAATTTAAAATGACAAGAAAGTCTGTCGCCTTAAAGGCAAAATATCAAGATATGAGGGGTTCGTGACTTTTGCACAGTACTGCAGATTACGGTTAAAGATCTTACTATTCAGCTGGTACGTCTCCACAAGGATCCAAACACCGTTGATGGCCACCACCACATCTACAGTCGCAAAAAAACTTTGATAAGAGACTTTAATCAGTATCACTGATAGCAGCTGGGAGAAGGTCAATGATTACACTTACACATAGCATACTGAAAGGCCTTTGACTTCACAAGCAAATGGATACCTAATAAAGTAGAGAGGAAAGTATCCACAATAAGGGATCAAGAGCCAATCTTATTTTGTCTGACAACAGAAGAAAAGAGAGAAAGAGAACTTTCCTTTGAAAATGAGGAAGGCTGTGTGTGGAAGATCATCAAACCAGTGTTCTCCACTGCGACGTGCCTAAACAACACACAGATTGACAGTAAATGTATATTTGAATCAACCAGAGGAGCACAAAAATAGAGCAGCTACACAGCAGAAATGTCAGGCTAATTACCTTCCATTTAAGGCCAGTGACCTCATAGAACTTATAAAAGTCCTGCAGGCTGCAACAGAACACACCACCATTAAATCAGTGACAAAGCAAATCAATGTAAAAGGATTTTCATTCTGAGAAGTGGAAGGGAGACAGTTACCTGAGCATGGTAGCCCCTGATGTGTTAAGAGCTTTGTAAGTGAGGAAGCGGTCTCTTGCAGACATGCGTGGTCTGTAAAAACGCATCAGACCATCGAACTGCTTCAGAGACAC